TATCTTTAAAAAAAAAATTAAATTTTGAGTGACATGTTAGAAACTTGCAAATTGAAAGAATTGCATGAAATTGGTTAGTTTAAGATCCAATTGTAATTTTTTTTTTTTAAGTTCAGTGGTCTAATTGCATTATTCTGTACCGTTCCATGACTTATTTGACCATTATCCCTATAAATTTTAAACAAAATATAAAATATAAAACACATATTTCTTATTAGGGTAATTGATTGAAACTGCTTACATAGTTAGATTCTAAAAATAACCAATACAGTTTCAATATTTCATTTAAAGTGTAATATTTTATCTGGTAGATATAGTCATATTATTGTACAGAAAATTCTTCCACTTAGTTCATAATTATGCTACTTATAGTGTAATTAAATTGATCACAAAATTAGATGAATTTCAGTGTTGCACCATAGCTCCAACCTCTGTTTATATAGCTAAAAGTACATGTGACCATATTACTTGTCTAGTTGTTTAGATACATACATAAATATATGTTTTGTACTTAATAAACTTCTTTGATTAGACTACTAATTTCAAATCAGACAAAAGACATGGTTCCTTTAGTCGCCCATAAGAATTCTCTTACAAAACTAAGCTTAACTATTTTTTTTTTTTGAAATATTACTTAATTATTATAAATCTATAAATATAAAATAAATTGGGTAAAATATGTAAATATATAAACGAAATTTTCCTACAAACTCCAATATACTGTAGATAAAATTTTTATTAACCAGCAAATAAATTTTTTATTAACCATTATGAGACGAGTATGTATTCATTAAATTATCAATATCAATATCAATACCAATTATAAACTTTAAACTTTTAAAAAAATAATAATTATAAAAAATCATATATAAACTAATATTTATTAAAAATAATATATATGATTCAAGTACAACTCCAATTAAAAAGTAAAAACCTCATCACTCAAAATGATTTCTAACTGCACTTGAACCTTGTGGCGAGGGTCATGGAGATATCCACTACCATTCTACAGCCTGGAATATAATATACAAATGCTAAATATGATTCTCTCTCGTCTCAATCAAGAATGAGGTGTACACCAAATCCCAATTGGGTAAGATTCCTCCTCACTAGCTAGAATATTTTGCTGGTGGCTAGCTTCTGGGACTTTGACATTATTTAGGCTGGGATTAGTCCAAACCTGATTTTGAATTTATCATTCTTCAAAAAGACTGAACCCCAACCATAAGGGCCCTTCACTTCCGATAAAGCATTTGGGATGATGTAAATTATGGTAACTCAACTGAATATAAACACTGTTAATTGATATAATTAATGACGTTATGTAATTGAATTGAACTAGTTCCCATTCATTTAACATAACGTATGTGCTTTGTTTGCATACTCTTCACCACTCGAACACGCCACTCCTAAGGGACAACATCTTGTTGGATAAAAAATAGCATAAAAAAACATTTTAAGTGACTATTTTGTGGTACAATTATTAGTGAAGTCCACTTCTGATTTGAGTCGGATCAAAGTAGTTTGAGTTCTTCGTAGTGAGACGAAGAGATTGATATATTGTACGTTCAAAACGAATAATGCGTGAATGAGAAATTGATTCTCAAAGTAACCTATTTGAGTTGGAAAAATGAAGGGAAAATGCTTTAAAAGTAGCCTTTGTCCCACATTGATTCGGGAAGTGGGTTTGCACCACTATTTATACAAGAGCCTTTCTAAAACCTATTGAATTGTATAGTATAGAGGTTTTCTTGTGTTGCTCAAGGGTTACAAGATTAGTTTTATATCCTCTTTTGAAACTCTGCTCCCCCTCCTTTCTTAGCCAACGAGTTGTTCATCCCTTGATCTAGTTCACCGGATTCCATTGTTTGAGTGCTCAAACTTGAAATCGTCCTCCTCCTTTCTTAGCCAACAAGTTGTTCATCCTTTGCTCTAATTCGCCGGATTCTATTGTTTGTTTGAGTGCTCAAACTTGAAATCGTAGTACGTTTTATCCTGGGAAACCTAGGTCGTAACGCTCATAGCATCCTTGGGAGACTGCAAATAAGATTGTAAGGAAAGAATGGTTCGCTCGATTCGTACTAACCACGTACGCAAAAAATTCCTTTCGTTCGTGTGCTTGTTATTTTTTTTTTTTTTTCAGAAATATTTTTTTTGTAATAGTATTTTGTAACACATCTCACATGATGATACCCTCTTATTATACACATACCACTCACATTATACACCCCTTTCATCCTACAAAAGAAGTGGTATAAATGAGGTGGTGAAATTGCAAAAAATAAAAATAAAAATTTTACTAGAGATGAGCTAGAGAAAGTACTAAAATAGGCTATTAAGCCAAAAGCAACTAAGGGTGTGTTTGGAAATCCGAAAAATAATTTATGTAAATTATTTTTTGGGTTTTCAGTGTTTGGTTAGAGGTGGAAAATTGAAGTCAATGGAAAATATGGGTATGATCAATGAAAAATATAAGGGATTTTCTAGAAAATGACTTCCCTTTTTTTGGGGAAGTCATTTTCTGTTTGCAACAGTGAAGTAGCCAATCACCTGCCGCCGCTGCCGCCGTCACCACCACTGTATAGTTTAAATATTTAGAATTAAAATAATTATGCTCATTTTTCAGAAAATGAACCAAACACACCAAGACAGTTTTCTGGAATGCAACCAAACACGGGAAAAGAAAATGCTTTCTGAAAAATGAATCATTTTCCATAAAATATTTTTCAGAAGTCATTTTTCTACTTTACAAACACACCCTAAGGTCAAAGGATTCCAAAGACTTACATTCTCCTCTTCTCAAAGTGATAGCTAGTATATATGATCCCAAAATTGTGCACTACAAAGGAAAAATGAAGCTAATAAGAAGAGAAAGGAAGATATGATGAAGTCGAAAGAAAATTGTTGGTCTCAATTACAAGTAAAAGTGTAGAGATGAGGAGGTGAATGATATTTTAGATGCTTTTTAATTTAATTTTTACTATAATTTAAGTGCACATCGGAAGTCTCTGACTTGTAAAGAATTTTACTTAAAAGATTTTGTGCAGTAGCATTTTTGCTAGGAACGCGTAAGTGCTTGTGTGTATGATTATGGATGATTTGTAGATAAATATAAAGTAAAGTAGATAAAGAGAGGTAGATTTTTTTTAACCTTCCCACCATACAAAGTCAAACCTTCCCGGAGAAAGAAGAAACTGAAGAGAGCGAAATTCAAGAAACGATTACAGAGAGTCAAAGCGGTGACATTTGTGTTTGTTACAAACATTTTAGTGTAGAAATGTTGAGATTTTATTGGAGTCAAATGTGATAGAAGCAATGATAGTAAATGTTGTGGAAGATGAAGAAGAAGATAAAGGAGGAAAGAGGATGGCATTGACCATGCTTTTATACAAGTTTAAAGAATTGGTTGAAGTTTTTTTTTTAGTTAGGGGATCCAATTGAATTATCCAGTTAATTTAATCCTTTTCTCAAATACTAATTTCTAATCAACTTCATATATTCGTCAAATCAAAATCAAAATATATAAACAATCAAAACTCTCCAGCTCAGCATCAAATTAAATATACCATATAATATATACTTCAAAAAAGAATTTTGTTATTTTTTTTAAAAGAGAAATCCTGAATTGCTAATAAGAGTTTGATGATGGGTCCACACGCTTAACAGAATTCAATGTATATGAATATGACTATGCTTTGCAAATTGCAAACTGTCCATTCGTCCCACTAGCTGAAGGTACCTTTTGTTCTGGTACACCTTCATCGGGTGCAGAAAGAAAAATATATATTGTTTGTACCATTAAAAATATTATATAAGAGCAATTATGCTTTTAGGTACTTAGTTATTATAGTTAAATAGTTGACTCACTTTTTTAATTATTGAGACCCCCTTTCTTAATTTTAATTTCGCTTTAACATATATAGTCCCTTAATAACAATGTCTATTAAATATAAATGTCTACTTCTCAAAGTTCTAGCAATGATCGACACATTAAAAATAGAAAATAAAAATGAAATTTCACATAACATGACTCCGTATCATGGTTGCAGTAGGCGCTAGGCGCTAGTCGAGCGGCCGGGCAGCGCCTAGCGCCTAGGCGGTCTAGGCGGCGCTAGGCGGGCACCAAAAAAATTTAAAAAAAATAGTTACAGACTTGTAGTTTGACAATTTTAATGAGGTTGTTTTCAACGTTCACTCAAATAACACATCTAAATAAATGAAATAATGATAATTTATAAGTCATAATGTCATAATAATATTAAAATCAATAATTAATGAAAGACGACATCGGTCAAAATAAGACAAAATCGGTCAAAATCGGACGAAATTGGTCGACTCGGCCGAGTTGGCCAAGTTGACCGACTCGGCCGAGTTTGGCCGCTCAGGCCGCCTAGGCGACCGGCCGAGTTTTGGCCGCCTTTAGGCCAAAACTCTAAGGCTCGGTGCCGCCTAGCGTCTAGGCGGCCGAGTTTTGCAACCTTGCTCCGTATACACTATCTTTTTTTAAGTGACTGAGAAAAATCTGCAGCCACTACATAAAAGTGTGTACTAGTTAAACATTGTCTTGTGACATTAGTTGACAAATGACTACAGAAAGATAAACTAATTTAAATTACTCATATTTGACCAGATCAAATCAAGAAATTCAATAAACCACTCTAGTTGAAAATCAAACTTATAACAATATAATTAACATGTCAACAATCTAACTAACTTAACTAGAGTTCCCTAATTTACACTATCTTTTATCGGTAGGGAATATATTTATGTCACTAATAACCATAAGGACTAAAGTTAGTTACAAAGTAGGACTCAAGTGTCAAACCACATCACATTGACAACTGGCTTTGTTTTTTTTATACCATACATATCCATTGCAATGTGCTTGTGCTTCTTCATTCTTTATATGTTATATATATACACACACCCTAAATCCTGAAAATCATCATCACTCACCGCTCATCTTTTAAGAATTCAATTCATATATAGCTTTTCTAGAAATGGGCAATTACATTTCTTGCACCATGTTAGGGCCGATTGGCGGGCGAGGTAGATGCGCGACGGTGATTCTCCCGGCGGGCGAGATTCGACGCTTTTACGAACCGGTAAACGCAGCAGAGGTGATGCTGGAGCACTGCCCCGGCCATTTTCTCGTGAACACCAAGTCCCTGCACGACGGCCGGAGATTTTGTCCGTTGGGTGCGGTGGAGGAGCTCGAGGTGGGCAACGCGTACGCCGCCTTCGCGATGAAACGGGTGAGTTCCTTGGTGACGGCGGCGGATATGGGCGCGTTGTTCCTTGCGGCGGCGGCGAAAAACAGAAGGGCGGCGGGTCGAGGAAGTGCCAAGGTTTTGCCGGCTGATTGCACGGAGGGCTTGGATGAGGGTTTAGTGGGTAGCTTGCCGAAGTTGAAATTGGATGACATTGAAGATTTCTCGGCCCCGGATTTGAAGCGCAGGCTTTCAATGTGCAGATCGAAGAAGCCTTTGTTGGAGACTATTGCTGAATGAACAGTTTACTGGAGATGAATATTCAAGCCATATATGGCAAAGCCGGCTTATATATTCGTTATTATTCATTCAATTTTTTTCTTCATCTGGTCTGCCAAATCTTCTGTGGATTGCTTGGACATCTGTTTTTGGCATCAATTCTTCATCCCGGGACCTCACATTTCGGCCCGACAGGATTGAGGAAGCCATGCTGTTTATTTGCATCGGCATCTGGTGGACTTTATTTTTATTTTTTTTTGGGTTTTTTGGCATTGATTGCATGCTCTGTTGCCTACTTCTGGGAAGGAGTTTTTGCTGCTTGCTTGCTTCATGCGTGCAGCTTACAGGTTACTGAGCTGGGTTTGGATTAAGGATTCTGCCTGCTTGTAATTCGCTGTCATGTTCATATATATATATCAATTGTTTATATATATATTTTTTCTTTTAATGGCTGTCCAGGTTTAATGTTAAAATTTCATAATGAAATCATGTAATTAATTATCTGTACATTCTCCTGTGAAGAATGATTGAAGTTTAAAAAAGAAAAACTACACCACAAAATGATGCCGGGAGGTGGTTGTCTTCAGTTGTGACGGTGGTTAAATTTCAGTAACGGTAATTCACAATCTTTTTTTTTTTTTTTAGACATACGGTAATTCACAATCTAAATATATTGTATTTTTATAAAAACTTAAAAAAGTAAAGGAAAAGTGTTAAATAATCTCTTAAACTTTACCTGAAAAATTAATTAGCCCTTAAATTTTTAAAAGTGCAATTATACCTTTTTATATGTTATATTGAGGCAATAAAGTAAAAAAAATTGATAAATAATCTACTATTACAGGTAATTAGGATTAATCTAACATCAATTTTATCTATCTCCGTCGACCGACGACTGCCCAATCGTAGTCAGTCGCTAGTGGAAGGCGACTAACTGGTCACCTTCCATCGGGGAAGGCAACCACTGGTGGCTTGGCCTTCCATCGGAGAAGGTGACCACTGATCGCCTTCCATCAGAGAAGGCGATTAGTTGGCCGCCTTTTGCCGGCCTTCTTTGGTAGACGTCGACTAACGATGGTTCGACGGTCATCAGTCGTCGGATTATTGCCAGAGATGGATAAAATTGATGTCAGAATCCTAATGACCTGTAATAACAAGTTATTTACCAGATTTTGGACTTCATTGCCTCAATATAACATGTAAAAGAGTGTAATTATTGAACTTTTTAAAAGTATAGGGGGCTAATTGATTTTTTGGATAAAATTTACGGACTTATTTGACCATTTTGTATTCTATTTTCATTTTGAGCCTACGGTATATTAAATTTAATCTCTCATGTAAAAGAATTTGAGTTTATTTTGCCCAACTTAAATCAAAAGTAAACTCACTCAAAATTATATTTTAATAATGAGTTTGATACCATCTAGGGGCTTCCAAGTATAGTGATTTTGTCACATGTAATCCTAAACTTTCAAATTGACCATACGTGGTCTTTTGACTTTCAAATTGTTACCATCTGTGGTCTAAGTTAACCACCCATGAGCATGTGGACACTGGCAGTCCATCCCAAGTGTTCGTTGATACTCTGGCCACTAGCAGTCCTTCAGCCAATGCACAAAGTCACAAACAAACACCACTGGCAGTCCTTCAACAACCACTGGCAGCCCTTCTATACCAAACTCTGTGCACAATGAAGCAAGCAGCACAAATGAAGACAACATGAGTATACCCTGCTCAGATCCTCATGTACAACCTCGGAGATCAACCAGAGAACGTCAGATGCCAAGTAGACTACAAGACTACTACTGTGATATAGGTGCGACAAACAGAACCTCACCATACACTCTCTCGAAGGTGATCTCCTATGATGGTCTTGAGCCCATACATAAAGTTTTTTTTTTATGGTTGTCACCTCCACTAGTGAACTAATAAAATGCAACCAAGCTATAAAATATGACTGTTGGAAAAAGGTCATGGAGATAGGAATTTCCAAAAGAACTAGACGTGCATGGGAATTAATAGGTTCTGTTTTTTCACTGTCTGTGTCATCGCTTAGGGTTGATACATAGGTTCAGTTCTTTCTTTTTAAGTATGTTGGACACTCGGACTGGATGTGTCCAAATCCTTTGCACTCGTAGCACTGAACTCCTTTAGGTTTTGGACTCTCCCTTCCTTTTGAAATAGATTGATTTTGTCCAATTGGGAAGTTCCCTTGATTGATTGAAGCACTTTTGTTTCTAAATTTGTTGAATTTTTTGAGAACTCTGTTGAAATTCTTTGTTAGGAGAGCAATTGATTGTTCCATGGTTTCAGTATCAATTTCTGGACTCTCTTTCTGCTTTGATTGGAACGCAATTGCTTTGTCATTATTTTTCCCTTTTTGTAGTATCTCAAACTCATATGTTTCAGGATTTCCCATTAGATCACCGAGTTTGTAGGTGTTTAGATCTTTGTTTTCTTGGATGGTTGTAACCTTTATCATAAATCTCTCAGGTAGGGAATGCATGACCTTTTTGACGAGCCTAGGTTTAAGAATAGGTTCGCCTAGGTTAAACGCATCTCCAGCAATCCCTAAAACTCTTGCACTAAACTGTGAGATATATATCATCATCTTCTTCCATTTTTATATTCTCAAATTGTGTTTATATCATTTGCAGCTTGGATTGCTTAACAGAAGTATTTCCTTCGTGATGATCACATAGTATATCCCATGCAATCTTTGCTATACCAGTGGTGGCGATGAGTTTGAAAGTTTCTTCACTCACGACACCATAGATTGCATTCATGACTTTTGAATTGTAATTATATTCCCTTCGCTCTTCTTCGTTCCATTATGTTTTAGGTTTTTTATTACCTTTATCATCAACTGGATTCTTCCATTCTTTCTCAACGGCTTCCCAGACCCCTTCTCCTTGTGCTAATATGTATATTTTCATCCTAGCTTTCCAGCAGGAGAAATTTGTACCAACTAGAGCAGGGGGCCTGGTGTTTGACAGTCCTTCTCTGGGAAACTCCATTAGGATCCTGCTAATAACTTAAGCAATTTGGCTATGATACCAATTGTAATTTGTAAAAACGCAGCACACAGTGATGTTGAAACTAGCGTTGTAACACAAACGATCTGTAACGCAGTTTGGGCAAACAACCCTAATCTGCGAGGCACTTCTCAACTTGAGAATTTGCCTAAATCCACTAAAAGCTAAGTATTTAAAGTACATTGTTTTGGAATCAGAAATTACACAATAGAAAGATATTCCCTATCACACTATTGTAACCTAAACACATGTACTACTTTCTAGGGGATTTGGGTAGCACTTCTCAATGACTCTCGTACCTCACAAGTTAGATATTCAAAGCGTGAGTTCTAAAATAAAGGACAAGCCCTATTTATAGTAGCTATTCCTAACAGATTCGTGAATAACAAAGTTATTCATAATCAAACTAGAACTAGGAAATCTTCAATAACAATTCATCTTAGAACTAATATTCTTCAATAGTTATTCATCTTAGGACTGGTATTCCTTTATAGAATTGGAATTCTTTTTGCACATAACTTTGACAAAACATTTTGAGTCAACATTTACATTCATGTGAAAGAGATAGAAGCTTGGAGAGAGAAGATTTGATTACTTCTGCAAAAGTTGTTTTTTTGTGGGACTATCCCACAAAAAATCAAGCATTTCTCATCATTTGCGTGTAACGTGAAACTGATGCTCGCCACTTTTAAAATAATTGAGGGGGCTAATGTGCTTACGTGGATAATTTCAGGGGGAAAGTGCTATAAGTATATAACTTAGGGGGAAAAAGTGTCATTTTCTCAAAAAAAAAAAAAAAAAAAAAAAAACTAAAATCTCTATCAATTGAGGATGCCTTAATCTCACTCCAAACATGGTTGGAATAAAATATATGAACAATCAAAGTTTTCCAGCTCACCATCAAATATATATACCATATCATATGCACAATTGTTTTTTTTATTTTTTATTTTTATTCTTCTTCAAAATTTGTTAATAGTATTGTTAATAAGAGTTTGGTGATAAGGCCATAAGAAAGATGATGGGTCCACACGCTAAACAAAATATATACATACAGTGTATATGACCATGCTTTGCAGTTGTACACTGTCCATTTGTACAACCACATGGAGGTACCTTCTGTTCAATTTCTGGTACACCCTCTTCGGATGCGGAAAATTAAAACAATTATTTGTATTATCCAAAATATATGTACTTTCATCGATGGGACATCATCAACATCTCAATAATGGAAAGAAAATTGAAAGTTTATGTAGTGTTGGTATTATTGAACTAATTATTTTGACAAAAAAATTATCAAAATATTCAATTCCGAGGGGAAATTAAAGAGTTTGGAGATCCGTTGATGAAACATGCCTTAAGAATCTTGAAGGATTCATTGCTATGTTAAATAAAAGCTTTAACCAGGTGGTTAAAAGTTTCAACATGTTAAGCAACGAGAATGGATTGGTATTTGGAAGAAAAATTGAAAATAAAAAACGAACAAGTGTTTTAATTAGCTCAAACTGAAAAAATTACTCTTACTATTTGGTAATTAGTTGTTGGCTTGTTGCAATTTATAAATTTTTTCTTAATTCTTATTAGTGTTATTACATTATTACTTATTGATTTCTTAATTCTTTTTTGTAATAATTCTTAAGTAGTTGAAAATGAGGGTGTAAACTTGTAAAAAATAAAAATAAAAATTGGGCTCTAGACCGAGCTAGGCATTAATTTTTATTTCCGAATTGGACTAAGTCCAATATGAAATTTAATTGGCCCGGCCCAATCCAAAAACTAAATGGTCCAGTGGCGAGTCGAACCCAAGTGCGTCTGGTTTTAACGGCAAATTATTGTATGGGCCATGGTCCACACAATGTTATGTGTACCATAATAAAATGTACATTTTTAATATACTAAATGTACATTATTTTTGTAGTGAATGTGCATTATACAATATAATGTACACTTAGAACAAAAATAATGTACATCCTCTGAATATAATGTACATTATTTTTGTACTGATTGTACATTATTTTTGTACTAAATATACATTATTTTACAGTAGACAAAATATGGTCCACACAACTTGTGTGGACCATGGTCCATTCAATAATGATTGCTGTTTAACACCTCTACTGCCATGTACTGATGGTTTCAAGTACCAGTTAAGGTTGTTGATGACATTAGTAATTTGATAAGTACAATAATTAGTGAAATAATTTATTAAGGTTTGCTAAAGCTTGGTGAAAGTCTGCAATCCACTGACAATGATCAGCAACTTAAAGTTAGCTTGAACTATAAATTGTGAAGACTGATTTCCAAACAATTTTCAATCACTTGCATTTAAGGGGAGTTGGCAAGGATCTACTGATCTAGGGGAAGTATTTAACATATAAAGTTTTTGTAAAAAAATTGTCAAAATGGAAGATTTGGTATTATTGTTTTTTTTTTTTTTTTTTTTTTTTTGAATGGTATTGACTCTATTACAATAAACACAAAGAGTCAATGTCTCCACATTGAAATTCAAATTTAAAACCTCTCATTTGAAGGATTACAGCTATGCCGCTCGACCACAACGCCTTAATTATGTTGACAAAAACATTATCAAAATGGAAATTTGTTGTTGACTGCTTGTAAAGTTAGGAAATGATTATCATACAAAAAAGGTGAAGTGGAAGTCTTGGATGGAAAGGAAACAAGTTTATCTTATAAAAAATGATTCAAGATCTCTAAGTTTAAAAAGATTGTGAATTTAGGGGTACTACCATTATAACTTAAGGACTAAGTCTATACCACGGATTGATATAACTTGAGAACAAAAATATAATTTTCTTTTAATTTTTTTTGGGTACACTCAAAAATATTTCTTTCACGAGTTTTACTACATGGTTTTAATTTTTTTTGGGTACACTCAAGAATAGTTATTTTACGAGTTTTACTACATGTACTTCCAAATGTTACTCTATGATGTGACGAACTCTGATAAACTATTTTTTATCATGTCAGTCCCAATACCAGTGTCTACATCAAAATTTTGTGTATGAGAGTAAAAGTAAGATTACACATACTATTTTCCTTATTTCACACACAATCAATCAAATTAGTTACAAAGTATTATAGGGATGGCAATTTCAATCCGTCTCCGTGGATATCCACTCGAATGGATCTGTTTTTTTTTTTTTTTTTTTGGGTGATGGTGGGTGGTGGGTCGGGGTGAGTCTTAAAAAAGTAAATCCGCGGTACGTTAGGTTGGATTCGAGTTCTAGGCAAATTATTGTGTGGACCATGGTCCACACAATGTTATGTGGACCATAACCAAAAGTACATTTTTTATATACTAAATGTACATTATTTTTGTATTGAATGTACATTATACAATATAATGTACACTCAGAACAAAAATAATGTACATCCCCTGAATACAATGTACATTATTTTTGTATTGAATATACATTATTTTTGTACTGAATGTACATTATTTTACAGTAGGCAAAATATGGTCCACACAACTTGTGTAGACCATGGTCCATACAATAATGATTGCGAGTTCTATGTACAAAACCCGCTTAGAACCACACCCAAACCACCATGTGTGCATGTGGGTGTGTGTGTATATATATAATAGTAAAATAAGTACTAGTATGTAGTTATTTATAAAGATTTATATAACTACATGTATCTTTTTACTATTTCTATATCTAAACTACTATTCTATTAACTTTATTAAACAAAAATTAACAATTTAGTTATTATATTTAAATATTTCTATTATTTTATGTTTTAGTATCATTAATGAATTTTATTATGGGTAAGTAATTTAAATATTATTTTTTGAAAAAAAAATAATAAGATGATGAGTGGTGGGTACCCGCAGTGGGCACTCGCACACGGTGGAGTGAGGTGAGTTTTGAAAAAGTCCACCCAATGTGAATTGTGGACGAGGGTGGGTGGAGAAAATATAAGGTGAGTCGGGTGATGGATGTAGCCCTCCCGACCCACCACCGATCCATTGCCATCCATACAAAGTAAGAAGTCAGGTACCAAACCATATCACATTGACAACTGGCTTTGTCTTTATTCCGATATATTCCATGTGTGTTTCTTCATTCTTCTTCCTAAAAAGTTGAATCTCCAACTCCAAAAACCGCCACACCTAAATATTTTTATGATACGATTTCTATATGTACATATTCCTCCCAGTTTTTGTTTTTGTTTTTTTGTTTTTTTTTTTAATGGCCGCTGAGTTTTAGTGTCGAAATTTTATGATGAGATCTTCTAATTATTTGTAGTTATGTATAATATGTTAAAGTTTTGTGTTGGGAGTTTGAGACGGTGTTACGTAACATTAATTCAAACGAAAATCACACTTTTTTATTTTTACATTATATGATAATTGTAGAATTCGTCCGGTAAGAAATGTATTGGCAAGAATTTCGTGGGAGGAATGCTGCTGGAGTATTACTTGCTCTTCCTATGTTATAATTAAGGGTCAAATATCTTAACTTTTTTTAAAGGTCAAATGCTTAGTATGATAATAATAATAAAATGTAAAATAAAAAATACATTGCATCCCAATCAATAAAAATTTGTTATTAACCTACTAAAAAAGTTAATTACACTTTTCTTTTCTAGTGAATGCATTATAGTTCAGTGACTCAATTGCTATTCCTGAAATAGTTTAATTTCTTATTTATACCTTTTCCCATTGAAAAAAGGAAATTAAAGAAAATAAAAGGAAATTTAAAATCAAAATTCAGCCCTAATCCAGCGTTCGTTGTCCAGCCCTCTTTCGTCCAGCGCTAATCCACGACCATCACTCCTCGCTCCACCGCCCTTCACCACCATCGACATAATCGCAGTAACCAAAACTGAAACTTGATTACTGCTTTGACTGTCGCAGTAATCGCAGCTCCCCCACCGGCGGTCCACTTCATAAGCAATAATTGCCGCTGCGAATTTCTGTTCCCAGTTATCTGTGCCATGGCAGCCAATATAAACATGGTAAGCCATCTTTAGATAAATACTATGATTTGAGAACTTGTGAGATTTCTTTATGAAGTTGCCAAAGTGTGATCCGGTTTGTGAAATATTTGCTGATTTACCTTGATTTTTATACCAACTTTTGTTAATCTTAAAATAGAAGCTAGGTTTTAAGTAAAGAATGAAGGGATTGTTTCACTTGAATTTGGATCCTGCTTCGAAATTTTTGGTCTTCTTAATTGCAACATATACTTTTATGTATTTTCAAATCTGAAGATTAGTAATTCCTGTGATTTAGTTTTATAATATATGTTTTGGTTTTCAGGAGATTGAGGAGGATGACGATTATGTTGAGTATGTTCCTGTTGCAAAGCGAAGGGCACTTGAGGCACAAAAGATTCTCCAGCGCAAGGGGAAATCTGCAGCATTGGAAGAGGAAGCTGAAAAGATAAAACAAGTTGAGGCAAAGCCAAGTTTGCTTGTGAAGGCTACTCAGCTAAAGAAGGAGCTGCCAGAGGTCACTGAGACCGAGCAAATGGTTCTGCAAGAGAAGGAGATGATTGAGCATCTCTCTGATAGAAAGACTTTAATGTCAGTGCGTGAACTTGCAAAGGGGATTACATATACAGAACCTATGTTCACGGGCTGGAAGCCACCATTAGCCATCAGAAGGATGTCAAAAAAAGCTTGTGACACCATCCGCAAACAGTGGCATATTATTGTGGATGGAGACGACATCCCACCACCCATAAAAAATTTTAAAGAGATGAGGTTTCCTGAACCTATTCTGGAGAAGCTTAAAGCAAAGGGCATTGTTCAACCGACTCCCATCCAGGTACAGGGATTGCCTGTTATTTTGTCTGGAAGAGATATGATAGGAATTGCATTCACAGGATCTGGGAAGACGTTGGTTTTTGTGTTACCACTTATCATGGTGGCCCTCCAGGAGGAGATTATGATGCCTATTGTACCTGGCGAAGGGCCTTTTGGCTTAATCATTTGCCCTTCTAGAGAGCTTGCACGACAAACATATGAAGTCATAGAACAGTTTATAGAGCCTTTAAGGGAGATTGGGTACCCTGAATTGAGACCTCTATTATGTATTGGAGGAGTTGACATGAAGTCCCAGCTTGATGTAGTAAAGAAAGGAGTTCATATTGTCGTTGCTACACCTGGAAGACTTAAAGATATGCTTGCAAAAAAGAAAATGAACCTTGACAATTGCAGGTAACAACCTTTGCTGCTTTTGTCCTAAGATTAGCATTACATACATGACTTTGTTTAATATTTTCTTTAGCAGGTAACCTAATAATTTGAAATTTATCTTTGGCAGCAACTTATTTTATTCTTGGCAATGTAGCTTGATTTGAATTGCTTGTTTCATGAACAGATTATCCTTTTATTTTTCCTCCCTTTTCATAGTCTTGAGTCCTTGAATGTTTTCTAAGTTGAATGCCTGAAAGTTTCTGCACGAATTATGTGTTGTACAAATGTTCTTTATTTCTTTGTTTTCCTGTGATTGAACATTTTTTTCTTACCATGCTTGCATTATTATGTGCAGATATTTGACATTAGATGAGGCAGATAGATTAGTGGACCTTGGTTTTGAAGATGACATCAGGGAAGTTTTTGATCATTTTAAAGCACAAAGGCAAACTCTACTTTTTTCTGCCACAATGCCCACAAAGATCCAAAATTTTGCTAGGAGTGCTTTGGTTAAGCCCATAACTGTGAATGTGGGAAGAGCAGGAGCAGCCAACTTGGATGTGATCCAAGAAGTAGAATATGTGAAGCAGGAGGCAAAGCTTGTTTATCTTCTTCATTGTTTGCAGAAAACACCCCCTCCAGTTTTAATTTTCTGTGAGAACAAAGCTGATGTTGATGACATACATGAGTACCTACTTTTGAAAGGTGTGGAAGCCGTTGCTATTCATGGAGGAAAAGACCAAGAAGACAGAGAGTATGCGATTTCATCATTCAAATCAGGCAAGAAGGATGTGTTGGTGGCAACTGACGTCGCCTCAAAAGGGTTGGATTTTCCTGATATTCAGCACGTAATAAACTATGATATGCCTGCAGAAATTGAGAACTATGTTCATAGGATTGGACGAACAGGTAGATGTGGGAAAACAGGAATTGCCACAACGTTCATTAATAAAACTCAGAGTCCAACTACTCTTCTTGATCTGAAACACCTGTTGCAAGAAGCTAAGCAAAGGATTCCTCCAGTTCTTGCTGAACTTGAAAATCCAATGGCAGATGATGATGCAATTATGAATGCAAGTGGTGTCAAAGGTTGTGCCTACTGTGGCGGACTTGGTCATCGTATTCGTGATTGCCCCAAACTTGAGCATCAAAAAAGCCAACAGATTGCCAATCAAAGAAGGGATTATTTTGGATCTGGTGGATATCGAGGAGAAATTTGAATTTTGTTTACAATTTATATATGTTGGCAATACTTTTGCATTTTCCAATGCTTTTCTACTTGTGGAGAAAATTCCTGTTGTACTAATATACCTTTATAACTGAATCTTAGTTGGCATATATTTGAGGTAGAAATGTGCTTCTATTTCATCTTTGTAGATTTACTGCAGTGAAGATTGTTCTATGGCATATGCTACATCTGAAGTTCCATGTTTCATGTATAGATGAGAAATATGAACTTCATTGAATATTTAATAAATGAAATTTGTTTTGACACTTATTTTTAGTACATTGGAGGGGGAGGGCAGGGGATTGATGGTTGAATCTATCATACATATGTTCTCGTTTATACTTCTCTGGTTTTTGTATTCCTAAACTTTTTAGTCACTTATCCTAAGAAATGAATTTGAAGGGAATAAGAATGCTATTTCATATAAGGAATCTGAAGGAAATAAGAATGCTATTTCATAAGGAATGAAATAAGCAAAAAAATAAAATAAAAATATATTTTAAAAATGTTTTTCAATTGTTTGGTTGATTTAAAAAATAGATAGTTTTTAAGAAATAGAAATGAAATATGTTTCTAAAAGATATAAATACCTCTATATAATAATAATAATAATAATAATAATAATAATAATAATAATAATAATAATAATAATAATAATAATTTTTTTTTTTTTTTGAAAAACATTTAATAATAGTCAAAATAAAAGAATATGTCAACTACCATGTAAAATCCCGTTATCATTTTAAATGTGATACTATTTTGTAAAGAATTATAAGTATTTTTAAAAAAGATATATATATATATATATATATATATATATATATAGGTTCAAATGCGGTTGGTGCGCCCAGGTGTGGTTGTGCAGTTAAATCTGAGCCATTAATCTTGCTTAAATCAACATCCAGGATTACAAAAATTAAAAAAAATGTGGTGGCAATTTGGTAATTTCTGCATCTAGGTCAAATTTAAGGTACGTGAGTTTTGTACTTAAGGTGTGTGGGGTTTGTGCTTAAGGTACGTGGATTTTGTGCTTAAGGTGCGTGGGTTGTGTGCTTAATGTGAGTAGTTGTTGAAACTTAAGGTGCGTAGATTTTGTGCTTAATGTGAGTAGTTGTTGAAACTTAAGGTGCGTGATTTTCCTTCTTAAGACGCGTTGTTTTCCTTCTTAATGTGCGCGATTTGTATGCTTAAGGTGCGTTAGTTGTGTGAAACTTAAGGTGAGCCATTTTAAAATCTTAGGTGCATGGTTTGTGTTCTTAAGGTGCTTTGTTGTATGCTTAAGGTGCGTGAATTGTGTGCTTAATGTGAGTAGTTGTTGAAACTTAAGGTGCGTGGATTTTGTGCGTAATGTGAGTAATTGTTGAAACTTAAGGTGTGTGGATTTTGTGCTTAATGTGAGTAGTTGTTGAAACTTAAGGTGCGCGATTTTCCTTCTTAAGACGCGTTGTTTTCCTTCTTAATGTGCGTGATTTGTATGCTTAAGGTGCGTTAGTTGTGTGAAACTTAAGGTGAGCCATTTTAAAATCTTAAGTGCATGGTTTGTGTTCTTAATGTGCTTTGTTGTACATTTAAGGTGCGTGGTTTGTGTACTATATATATATATATATATATATATATATATATATATATATATATATATATATATATATATATATATATATATATATTCTAATAAATAGAAAAAATCTTATAAAAAATTAAACATCATATACATTCCTCATATAATCAGATAATCCTGGAAGAGATGCTAGTGTCATATTGGTGATAAAGAAGTGTTGTGATAGGTAAAAAAAAAGAAGCATAAACAAATTTTATGTTTAATTGAGGTTAAAGTAGAAAATAACAAATTTAGAACTCATGAATAACATAATACCAGGGTCCCTGAAACAATATTCACGAGAATAAAAAGCATTAACGAGTAGGCCTATTCTTGGAAACACGGAAAATTATTGTGTGGACGGTGGTTCACATAGCTGTGTGAACCACGATCTAAAATGACATCGTTTTGATGTTAAAAAATAAATTCCTGCTCTTGGCCCGTGTTAGAATAATAAACATTTTTGTGTAAAATAATGTATTTTATGTATTAGAATAATAGAATTTCTAGGGTAAGATAATGTATTTTATGAGTTAGAATAATGTAATTTATGTGTTATAATGATGTATTTTATGAGTTAGAATAATGCATAATATGTGTTAAAATAATAATAAAAGTGAAATTGTGATACTATTTGTGGTTAAAATTAAGTGTTACTAATAATAAATATTGTAACACTTATAACTTAAATTGTGATACTTACAAAGTGTAATTTTAATGTAAATATTGTAATGATTATATGTGAAAATGTTACTTAAGAAATAAATTGTAAAACTTATTCAAACAATAAATAAAATAAAATATGCATTCAACTCGACCCATCGCTCACCTGCTATCAAAAAAAAAAAAAAAAAAGATAATTGCTACTATCACCCAAAAACTTGACCAATGTGGGATAGATTTTGGTGTATATTCGTGACAAAAATTAAAATTTCCATCCCTATTAAATAAAAAGATGTAAAAATAATTAAATAATTAGTTAAAAATAAATAATTTTTTCAAAAAATACTAACAATGAAGTGATTTTTGCAAACTGTGTAGGCTTGTAGGGAATGCGAACGTGGCCCGATTTACAACTTTGTGGCAATTAATTAAATTAATTAAAAATTCTCTGCTTCACTTTTAATAAGTATTGATTTGATATATAATAATAATGTCAAATAAAAACTCACTCTATTAAAAAAATAATCTAATCATAAAAATTACAATATTTACAAAATTACATTAGAATTACACTTTGTAAGTATCACAATTTCAGTTATATATATATATATATATATATATATATATATATATATATATATATATATATATATATATATATATAATTCTAAAAGTTTGTATAACTTTAACTTCATACTAATTTTAATTATAAACTAATAAGTTAATTTGAAAAAAATTAAACAATTTAGTTATTATTTTTGAATATTTTTATTATTTAATGTTTTAATATAACTAGTGAATTTTAATGTGTAAATAATTTAAATACTATTATTATTTCATGAATTTTTTAATTAATAAGATAATAATAAGTGACGGATACCGTATCTATAACCAATGGGCGAGGTGAGTTTTGAAGAAATTCACCCACTACCGATAAAAGTATAAGGGTGGATTGAGACGTTGATATAGATACGCTTGACCCACCACGACCCATTGCCCTTTTTAATTTCATTCTGTTTTTTTCAAATTATGAGTGGGTTTGCTTGTTGACATGTTTTAAGGGGTAGACTCAATTGTTAGTTCCAGGAATGAATTAATTATTTTATTTAATATAAAATGCAAATTATAATGATACTAAATCATTAATTATTTATTTTGAAAAGTAGGCAACATTAGAAGTAATAATAACAATACAATACTTTATTAGTTCTCTATGTGGGAAAGTAATAAAATTAGTTTTGACTATAAATTTTTTTAATGTGACGGGTTATGAAATGAATGTTAATTATTAGACATGGTGCATGTTATATTACATAATCACATCATAATATATACTTAGATACTGCATGATTATGTTATATTACATAATCATGGTGATATTTACATTACAATATTTCATGTCTTTAATTTGTTCAATTTCATAAGATGTGACATTTTAAAATTAATTTAAATTTTCAAAAAATTGTCTTCAAACTTAATTTTTATCAATTTTTTTTAGAATGATTTCATTCTTTCCGAAATTTTGAAAATATTAAATTCAAAAACATAATAGTTAACTTGTCAGTTTATTACGTAGTATATAATATTACTCCGGGCCTCTTATTGTGATCGCACACCATGTGACAAGATGGATAAGGAAAACACATTTCTCTTGCATCAATTTGAAACGGGCTTGAATTTAGTGTGATTAGTATTGTAATTAGTAATGTAATTATGATAATAATAAGTGGGGCAAGCCGCATCAATTGAAATGAACGTGAATTTGCATTGTAATGATTAATATTGTTATATTGTTATAATAATGTAATAATTAAGTACACGTTGAAAACCTTATTACGCTTAATTATGTGGACCATATGTGTAAATTGTGCATCTTGTCACACTTATGTGAACGATGATTCGATGAACCCTATGTGCTAATTGGGACCCAGTGAAGCTTTCAACGAGGTGAGTCAAACATGCATTCTTCATGCACTCTCTATGTGTGTAATCTTACTTACGAAATGCATGTAATCCAACACTCCTTTTTTTCTTTTTTCTTTTTTACATTTTAATTATTACTTTTTACTTTTAAAAAGCAACATGATTACTATACATGCATTCCTCGCTCATTCTACATCTATGTTGCCCTATTTAAACTCTTCACTTGTTGTGAATTGGCCACAAAGGTCTTCAAGTCTTAAACCTCCCTTCTCAACTCTATTAGTAGTTTAGTTAGCCATCTCTACTTCAATGAGTTAACATCTTGATAAAAAACCTCTTCTCTTGTCTTCTACTTCAATATTGTCAAATGATTTTTAGTCAACATTCATGCAGTGCATCCAATTGAGAGATTCCATGGTGGATGACCAATCTACATCCATTAAACTCATCTTTGTGACATCCTTAGATGAAAACCATAACAGATCTTATAGGAATGGACTTTGTGAGAAATTGAAACACTCTCAGTCTAAATGGAGTGTTAGTCTTCATTACCGCTTCTTCAATGTAGTTGAAAGACTTGGAGGGAAAAAAAGTAATCAATTTCATGCACATAAATTTATTTCTCATCTTCAATATATATAATTGTTTCATAAATTTAGGAGAATGTAACATATCTTCTGCTAATATCATCCTTAGCTTAGAGAGATTTTTTTTTTCTTCAGTGGACTTAGTTTCTATTCGACATTATAATCAATCAAATCAATCTTCATACATTGAACTCATCTTTGTGATGTTGTTAGATGAAAATCAAGCTTATGGTGTTAAGCTTTGTGATAAATTGAAACACCCTCCGTCTGGGTGGAGTGCCTGTTTTCATCACCCCTTCTTCAATGTAGTTGAAAGACTTGGAGGGAAAAAAGGTAATCAATTTCATGCATATAAATTTATTTCTCATCTTCAATATATATAATTGTTTCATAAATTTAGGAGAATGTAACATATCTTCTGCTAATATCATCCTTAGCTTAGAGAGATTTTTTTTTCTTCAGTGGACTTAGTTTCTATTCGACATTATAATCAATCAAATCAATCTTCATACATTGAACTCATCTTTGTGATGTTGTTAGATGAAAATCAAGCTTATGGTGTTAAGCTTTGTGATAAATTGAAACACCCTCTATCCGAGTGGAGTGCCTGTTTTCATCACCCCTTCTTCAATGTAGTTGAAAGACTTGGAGGGAAAAAAGGTAATCAATTTCATGCACATAAATTTATTTCTCATCTTCAATATATATAATTGTTTCATTAATTTAGGAGAATGTAACATATCTTTTGCTAATATCACCTTAACTTAGAGAGATTTTTTTTTTCTTCAGTGGACTTAGTTTCTATTTGACATTATAATCAATCAAATCAATCTTCATACATTGAACTCATCTTTGTGATGTTGTTAGATGAAAATCAAGCTTATGGTCTTAAGCTTTGTGAGAAACTGAAACACCCTCAGTCCGAGTGGAGTGCCTGTTTTCATCACCCCTTCTTCAATGTAGTTGAAAGACTTGGAGGGAAAAAAGGTAATCAATTTCATGCACATAAATTTATTTCTCATCTTTAATATAATTGTTTCATAAATTTAGGAGAATGTAACATATCTTTTGCTAATATCACCCTTAGTTTAGAGGGAGAGTTTTTTAGTGAACTTAGTTTCTATTTAACATTATAATCAATCAAATCAATCTTCATCCATTGAACTCGTCTTTGTGATGTTGTTAGATGAAAGTCAAGCTTATGGTGTTAAGCTTTGTGATAAATTGAAACACCCACAGTCCGAGTGGAGTGCCTGTCTTCATCACCACTTCTTCAATGTAGTTGAAAGACTGGGAGGAAAGAAAGGTAATCAATTCAATGCATATAAATTTATTTATCATCTTCAATTGCTTCATACAGTGGATTCTTGATTTTAAGGAAATAACAAATTTTAATGATAAATTGAGGAGGAGAATGTATTGTAGTTTTTGTTAATATCACTTTTACATGAAATGTTTTTTCAATGGACCGAGTTTTTTTTTTTTTTTTTTTTTTTTTTTTTTTGGATATATATTATAATCAATAATCAAACCAATAATAGAAAGAATATATTAAAGACATTTATTAGGGTGACAAGTAATTATTAAAATAGATAGGATGCTCTTAAAAAATAGTAAATACATACTCCGTATTAAAATAATTTTTGAAGATTTATTACTGTTATTAGTAATTACGGAGTATATGTTTTATACATACAAATAAATAAATAAATATATTTGTTATTGATAAGCTAGTTTCCTATGTTGTTGTCATATAAATAGGATAATTCTTTCAATGTTGGCATTATGATAAATACTCCAACATCTTGCTATGTTATTTTATTTTAAAATTTTTTGAGTGAGTTTTATTTGCATGTCCAACTCACGACACGGTTCTATGTTCATAATTACTGAACTCTATGTTCATAATTATAAAATTCTATGTTCATAATTTTTGAACTTCATATTCACAATTATTGAATTCTATATTTACAATTTCATAACTTTATGTTCATAATTACTAAACTGTATATTTATAATTATAAAATTCTATGTTCATAATTTTTGAACTTCATATTCACAATTATTGAACTTTATATTCACAATTACAAAACTCTATATTTGTAATTATAGAATTTTATGTTCATAATTATAGAACTCGATGTTCATAATTTTTAAACTCTATATTCATGATTATGACAGTTTTGAAACCGTGTCCACCTTGCAAGGTAGACACGATTCCAGAGCATAATTTACTTGGCCGGCCAAAATGGCTAACCACAGCCCAGGCCAACCCACAACCCCAATTTTGACAATTTTGAACTCGATTAGTTGTTAGTTCCAACCATACATTAATTACTTTTTAAAACACGGATAACAAGGATAATAAATAAATAATTAAAAAGTAGGCAACACACATCAACAATAGCATTAATAACATTGCTACTTTGAAAAGTCGAAATTAATCTGAAAGTTATTTTAAATCAAGTCAAAAGTTTTGTTACGACCACTTTTGGTATTCAGAAAAACCTTTATTGTTATTTTCGACCACTTTTTACTTTCGACTTGATTTAAGATAATTTTCAGGTGGTCGAAAATTTCATAATTTCCAGCCGTGAGTTGACTTTACATACAATAAAACTTTAATTTCTTAATATGACAGGCATTATAAATAAATTATATTAATTAAATTTTAACTGTTAAATCCTCAGTTAATGAATGTCATGTGTGTTGTTTGGCTTCAAGAGATGTGAAATTTTCTTAAGTAATATTAAAGTTTCAAATTTATTTTTATAATTTTTATGTTTTTTTTTTTGGATTCATCATTGCAGGTGCAACTCCAAAAACCATTCTCAAACTGATGAATGGAAAGGACCAAACATAAGGCCGGGCAGGGACATCTTCCTCGGCTGCAAGGAACGAGCTGAGGGTAAAGACGATGGTCCTCTGATCTTGATCTCACTCTCTCCATCAGACTCGTCCAGCCGTCGAAGATCTGATGGATTCAGGCGAAATGCCTGAATTTCTTTTCCTGTATGTAGTTCCTAAGTATATGTAAGTATTAACTTGCATTAGGGGCTTTTAATTGTATGTATGTATGTATGTATGTAGCTACTTGTTTTTGTGATTGTAGTGTAATTATTTGATCTGTATTTATGATTTAAAGACAATTAGGGGGCGTTTGGTTCAAGTTATATAAGATAACCAAGGTTATATTTGCTTGGTAATATAAGATTCCCATGTTTGGTTCAGGTTATGTAACTTTTTCGGGGGATGTCATAACCTCCGTATTAAGTTTTTAGCTATTGGAAGGGAATGTGAGATTCCCTCCAATTTCTTAGGTAATCTCACATTCTCTTGTCTTATTACTAATGTTGGGCTTTGGACGTTTTAATCAATTTATCTTATTAACGTTGTCTTATTTACATATCTTACTTTTAAACCAAAGACAGGAATCCAACATTCCCAGTAATCTAATATTCCCAGCAATCTAACATTTCCTAAGGTAATCTAACATTCCGTGAATAGAGTTTGGGAAGTTATAATTAATGCATGATTTAAGATTGAAAATTATAGTTGAATGTTGCTGGTAAATTGTCTAAATATTGAACAGTTTATGCACATAAAGTTAAAATTAAATCCCAAACTAACACACAATTATAATCCTCATTTATGTATAGTCTAATACTACTATACTAGTTACCAAACGCGCATTGCACAAATAGTTCAATGTCTAATGTGTATTTTTAAATTAGTGTTTCAGAATTTATTAAAGTATCATTCGGTATCTTTGCGTATATCAATGTAAGATGTCAATATTTTCAAAAAAATCAAATATTTCAAGAATGCATAATTATGACATGTGTCAGAAATGTTGGATTAACTAGTGCAATAATAGTTTTTGGAAGCACACTCACTGGATAGTACCATAAGCATAGTTTTTGCAACACAAAACCCTATTAATTAGCGTGATTCATGCTTCATCTTGTGGCCACTTCTGACAGAAATGAATTTTTGATTTGATTTAGTCTCTTGGCGTAGTTCACCTTAAAAAACATAACCAAATCCTCCAATGATAATATGCATAGTTTCTCATCTATGTTTCCAAAGAAACGTGAGCGGTAGGATTCAAACCTACGCGAGCAAAGCCCACATGATTTCTAGTCATGCCCGATAACCACTCCGGCACGCCCACTCTTGGCATTAAATTTTGACTTTTTTCCCAAATACTATTTATTAGTTGACAAAATTAGGGTAGAAGAACTAAATCAAACAAATCACTTGAATTTTCAAAAAAAAAAAAAACAAATCACTTGAAATTTGATATTAAATTCTTCTCTTAAATACAACCTATTGGGTGAACCAAAGAAACGTGAGCGGCAGGATTCAGACCTGCGCAGGCAAAGCCCACATGATTTTTGTCATGCCCGATAGCCACTCCGGCACGCCCACTCTTAACATTAAATTTTGACTTTGTATTCAAATACTATTTATTAGTTGACAAAATTGGGGTAGAAAAACTAAATCAAACAAATCAATTGAAATTTGACGTTAAATTCTTCTATTTAATACAACCTATTGGGTGACAGCAAAGAAACATTAGCGGCACGATTCAAACCTGCGCAGGCAAAGCCCACATGATTTCTAATCATGCCCGATAACCACTCCGGCACACCTACTCTTAACGTTAAATTTTGATTTTATTCCCAAATACTATTTATTACTTGACAAAATTGGGGTAGAAGAACTAAATCAAACAAATCACTTGAAATTCGACATTAAATTCTTCTTTTAAATACAACCTATTGGGTGACAGCAAAGAAACGTGAACGACAGGATTCGAACCTATGCAAGAAAAGCCCACATGATTTCTAATCATGCTCGATAACCACACCAGCACGCCACTCTTGACATTAAATTTTGACTTTTTTTTTTTCCAAATACTATTTATTAGTTGACAAAATTGGAGTAGAAAAACTAAATCAAACAAATCAATTGAAATTTGACGTTAAATTCTTCTCTTTAATACAACCTATTGGGTTACAACAAAGAAACGTGAGCGGCAGGATTCGAACTTACGCGGGCAAAGCCCATATGATATCTAATCATGCCCGATAACCACTCCGGCACGCCCACTCTTGTCATTTAATTTTGACTTTTTTCCTAAATACTATTTATTAGTTGACTCTAGGGGAAGTATTTAACATATAAAGTTTTTGTAATAAAATTGTCAAAATGGAAGATTTGGTATTAACATTAAATTTTGACTTTTTCTCCAAATACTTCTTATTAGTTGACAAAATTGGGGTAGAAGAACTAAATCAAACAAATCACTTGAAATTTAACATTAAATTCTTAATATCTTAAATACTACCTATTGGGTGACAACAAAGACAAATGAGAAAAAGGATTCGAACATACGCGAGTAAAGCCCACATGATTTCTAGTCATATCCAATAACCAATCCAACACACCCACTCATAAAATTAAATTTTGACTTTTTTTCCCAAAAATTTTGACTTTTTTTCCCAAATACTATTATTAGTTGACTAAAGTGAGGTAGAAGAACTAAATCAAACAAATCTCTTGAAATTTGTCATTAAATTCTTCTCTTAAATACTACCTATTTGTTGACAGCACTTCGGCACGCCCACTCTTGACATTAAATTTTGACTTTTTTCGTAAATACTATTTATTAGTTTACAAAATTGGGGTAGAAGAACTAAATCAAACAAATCACTTGAAATTTGACATTAAATTCTTCTTTTAAATACAACCTATTGGGTGACAGCAAAGAAACGTGAGCAGTAAGATTCGCACCTACGCGGGCAAAGCCCACAAGATTTCTAGTCAGGCCCGATAACCACTCCGGCACGCCCAGTCCTGGCATTAAATTTTCACTTTTTTCCCAAATACTATTTATTAGTTGAAGAAATTGGGGTAGAAGAACTAAATCAAACAAATTACTTGAAATTTGATATTAAATTCTTCTCTTAAATACAACCTATTGGGTGAACCACCCAAATACTATTTATTAGTTGAAGAAATTGGGGTAGAAGAACTAAATCAAACAAATTACTTGAAATTTGATATTAAATTCTTCTCTTAAATACAACCTATTGGGTGAACCAAAGAAACGTGAGCGGCAGGATTCGAA